CCATCTCAACGTGCTCGTGGACAAGAGTGTCTACGGCAGAATCTACATCTACTACATCTAGGAGGCAAGCCACCGTCGGGCGGGCATTCCTTCAAACTAGTGTTAAGGAGGACCCGATTCGCAGGTTATCCGTCGATTGACTTTACCTGAATCGGTACACCTTCGCATACATATGGCGTCAGCGGGATACTGGTTCGAATCTCCTGGGTGCACACTTTTTCTCCTGACTTGGATATTTTCCCAAGGACACAATGTGTGTCAGTCCTGAGAACACCTCTTGGAGTCGATCCTACAAAGAACCTTGTGACACTTCCATCGAATTACCCATCCTGGCCACAAGAGGTTCCCAGTTGAGGGTAAATTCTGTGGGTGGAGAGTGTTAAGGAGGACCCGATTCGCAGGGTATCCGTCGATTGACTTTACCTGAATCGGTACACCTTCGCATTTGTTTGTCATGGTGGTACTTTTGTAAGAGTGCTAGTCTACAGTCGCGTGACAAACTTCAACCTGGATACACACGTGCGTCTGTTTTTCGATCCTGCGGATCAATGCAGCTGCCAGACAGATCATATCACCACACGAACTGGACAGGAGAGAGGGGTGAGAGACCTGAAAGACGCATTTACAGCAACCCTAACCTTATCAAACTTCAGCAATACTCTGCAAATGCTCTGGAAAGACAAGCGGCGCCCGGCGCGTCGACTCCCCTTCTGAGACAGATACAGTGCCGGCCCGCAGTTTAAGAATATGGCACTTAAGAATTTGATGCTAAAAAAATCCAAAACTTAAGAATTTACTCATAAGAACACTTGCTCAGCTGCACGCCCTGTTAGGAACAAGAACACACACCTGAGGTGCAAAACTGCTGCTAACAATAAGAACGACAGCAATGCAGCGGCTGCCAGATAAGAATACTCGCAGGGGGAGGGAGGGGAGAGGGGGGAGTGATCCCAGAGTACAGAGTATTGGGTTTGGGAGGGGTACATACCCTGTATACCCATGTATGTGTGTTGAAGACGATGGTATCACTTGTATTTAGGACAGCAGACACGATCAGGACGCGGCGGGAGAGAGAGAGTGCCACGACACAGCAAGCACTCCCGCAGGGTCGAGTCCCGTGGATCAACCATGAAACCAACCCAGGGGACAATCAGTTCCTATCTGCGTAGCCACTTCTTACAGTCCCGTTGGAATATTCTCACCCGCTCATGCACACACGAACACCCTCCCTGGTTCTTTACGCTAGTAACTAACCACTCAGTGGGCATTCACACGCCGGATGTGACCAAAAAAACCAAACAGACAAAAAAACCAACAAAAAAAACCAACAGGGGGAAACCCGGCCTCCGGGTCAAAACCCCCACCAATATTCACCGTTCCATCAAACGCCCTATCCCAACGCTTGGCAAGCAGTAAAAGTGCAAGACTATCCTGAGGAGTTGGTTCAAACAACTACAATGCGGCTGCACTACTGTTTGTTCTTCAAACAAACATCAGACAAACATCGAAATCGCCCCCCCTCGCTGATGAAATACAGCGCACCGGGGCGGAAGGCAACCATCCAACATTTATTTCTGAGCGACACATAACCGGCATGCATATTTCGGCAATCCTCTATTATTCTCGTGGAGTACAACACTGGTGTCCCAATTTTTCCTCCTACGTTCCTTCAGCGGTTCCAACAGTATCCCATATTCCTGCACATTGCGCAACCTAGAGAACGGTACCACGTAGCCGCAATCAATGAGGGTCTCAACCGAATGACTATCAGGAAATACTGAACATGTGGGCGCGAACGCCTACGAGAAACACGGAACACCCTCCCTGGCTCTTCAACCAAAGTACAGTCATGACAACTCACGAGGATTTACCACCTGCCCTACGAATATCATCAAACACCAAATACCGTCAAGAACGAAGTGCCACAATCCAGCGCTGTGATGCGTGTTCCTCCCCTCCCAGCGCTCGTCCCGGCCTGTAGCCTCGCCACAAAAGGAGTTCCCGTTTTAGCACCACGATGCAAGTACCCTACCCCCACGCGCCTTCCGACGTGCCGCGGGGTTCCCGCTCTCGCCCCTTCCGATGCGCCACGGGGCTGCCTCGATTTTCTCTCCCCCTCACGCTCCGTCCGACGCGCCATGGGGCTAATGTTTGCCTTCCCCCCACGCCCTCCCAACGCGCTATGGGGCTGCATTGATTGTCGCCCTCCCGCGCCCCTCCCGTCGCAGCTGCGAGCACACGGCCCTCCCGCCGTGTTATTTGGTTGTTGCCCTCCCGCGCCCCTTCCGTCGCGGCTGCGAGCACACGGTCCTACCGCCGTGTTATTTAGTTGTTGCCCTCCCGCGCCTCTCCCGTCGCGACTGTGGGCACACAGCCCTACCGCCGTGTTCTCTGAATGTTGCCCCCCAACGCCCCTCCCGTCGCGGCTATGGGCGCACGGCCATCTCGCCGTATCCTTCTCAATATTGCCCCCCCCATGCCCCTTCCATCGCGGCCATGGGGCACACGGCCTTGCGGCCGGTTTTCTGTGTCTCTACCCTTCCACGCTGTTGCATTGGTGCTATCTTCACCATCTCCTACTGCTGCTGTGTGTGGATAGTGCGCGCGTAGTGACAAGCGCGGATATTGTGTCTTCCCCCCGCCTCTTCATACAAGGCCTCATGTGCCACATCCAGCTCCTCGTCATCGCTCACCACCGGTACCGCCGCCATATGTCTCGGTTGTCTCACCTTGGGGGAGCGATCCCCTGTCACGTCCGCCGCCCGGCCCAACCGCCGGGTCTGAGGGTGGCGTGATTCCCTCGTTTTGCGGTGCCCCCTCCTGGGTACCGCGGGTGGGCGCATCGCCCGTAACGACAGCGCCCACCCCAGCGCCGCCGGACTCCCCCTCCTTCTCTAACTTTCCGAGAGCGGATCGAAGCAGCCCAGCCAGCTGCTGTACCTCGTCCGTCAGGCCTGAAACTTTTCTCTCCAGGTTGTCAACCCTGCCCTGCGTACTAGTGGTGACGTCGGCAGCCTCTGCTGCAACATCGGCGGTACTCATCCCCAGCACGGGTTCCCTCGAGGGATACTCTCTAGAGTGTTACTATACCCATGTATGTGTGTTGAAGATGATANGTTACATCTGGATGTAGCAAAATGAGGATGAATTGAGGGAACATTGTGTGGTGTATCGTTGTGTAGACTATCCCTATGCATGTGTACCCTGTTACTATACCCATGTATGTGTGTTGAAGATGATAGTATCACTTGTATTTAGGACAGCAGACACGATCAGGACGCGGCGGGAGAGAGAGAGTGCCACGACACAGCAAGCACTCCCGCAGGGTCAAGTCCCGTGGATCAACCATGAAACCAACCTAGGGGACTATCAGNTGCCTCCACCGACGGCCTGGAGGCCCGCGCATCTGCACCTTTGTACCTGACGCACCTGTGCCGACCCAACTCCACCACTACGCACGCCTCGCGGCGGGTGCGCCGCAGCAAGAAGGTATCGGTCCCCTGAGGGTGAGTCTAGCCCTGCTCCCTAGAAAGACCACCCCCCTCGCTATGGATCATGCCTACGCAAAACATTGCCGAGGCAGCGAGGGGAAGAAAGGAAGAGTACAGAGTGTGGGATTTGGGAGGGGTACATACCCCACATATCAACATTTGTATTTTTTTAGAGGGGGAGGGTGGGCATTGTTCGCACGCGTCGTGCCCCTGGGTGCCCCCGAGAACAGCGTGATGCGCGGGCGGGGTGAGCTCCCCAAGGCGAGGCCCATTCTTATCATGGACAACTTGCACGCGCAGACCACGGACGAGTTCAAGGAGTATCTTGCGAAGCACTGCAACACTCTCGCCTGGTATGGCCCTTCGGAGTGCACGGACGAGGTGCAGCCACTTCATGCAGGAGCCGGACGATTTCTCAAGGTGGAAGTCGGGAGGCAGATGGACATATGGCTCGAGCAGTCGGACAACCTCGAGAGGTGGAAAACCGCGTCGCTGACAGCTTCTGATCGGCGCGTCCTGAATACTCAGTGGATGGGAGCGGGCATGGCAAGACTCAACAGCCAACAGGCGTACCGGTACCGTCTTTTCGAAAAGTGCGGGATGGCCATGACCGTGGACGGCTCGGGCGATGATCGAAGCACCTTGGAGCGTTTGGACAAGCCGTATACCTTCGCTAACGATGAAGACAGTAATAACGACGAACAAGATTCGGAGAACGGCAACGATGAGCCTGAGGGGCGGGCGGAGGAGGGCGATGGAGGACGTGAGACGCTCATGGAGGGCGTTGACTCCAGCGATGAAGACGACGGCGGTAAGTTTGAGATACAGGGAATGGAGTTCCCGGCAGGCTTTCGTATTCAAGAAGCTAAACCCGTTGCTCTTGAGAGATTGCTTTTGCGGCGTGGAGTGCTCGTTAGGCTGGACATGGGGTGGTTAGGAGGGGTGATCACTCAACAATCTCAGAAGCACACTCGCCACCTGTACGACTACTGTGTGCAGCTGGAGCTAGACCAGAGTACGCGCAAGATGAAGTTGCCCTTAGACAAGTACAGCAGAGGAGTATCACACAACAAATCCATCTCTATCTATAGAAATGAGTCTAAGATAGATTAGCAATGAATCCATAGCGTGAGCGAAAGCTACCTGTATGTCTGCGGTTTCCCAGACAGCATACAGCGACATCTTCCCTGTGGGTAACAGGCTCAACAAGGCAGTTTGGTAGCCATCTTGTGTATCTATCTGCATGCTATGTTGGGAAGTTGTAGACGGAAGATTTAGGAGAACTCGGTTTGTCGGGTGTTCTAATATGGCACCCTTCTGTCGTTGCGGAGCAAGCGCGTCTCGGGGTGTGTATACTTTCGTCATCAACTTATTTTTTGTGTGTGATGTATGGGAGCATGTTCTAGACGGTGTTGTGTAATTGCACGTCATTAAATGTGCGAAGGGCACGGGAGAACATTATCGCATCATGGCCTCCTGACGTGGCCGCCGATAGACTCGAGAGGCGTGTGGTTGAGGTTTCATCACCGACATGTGGGTGTGTGTTAAATGCAGTGGGTATGGTCACCTCTCTCGCCCGTGTGTCTGCAGAAAGTATGGCTACCTTTCCCATTTGTAGACAGCGCGGACCATAAGTAAAGACAGCGTGTATCATTTCATGCATCTACATCAGTTGGATGTGGAAAGGGAGGAATGAGAGGTTGTTCAAGTTTGACGGTGTGTGTATGGGTAGGGGGAGTACTCCCTGTGTCCGTCTTGTTCCCAGTTGTTGTCGCATTAAGTGGCAGCATGTGTCTTGGACAGGTAGACGTGGAAAGGCAGCGACAGATGAACGGCAGCAGCATGTTGTGCATGGTGGCATGTTGGGCTTGTACAAAGACGCAGTCCATCTTCGACCACACACAAAGGAGTTTGTTCGTACCTGTCGGAGTTTTGGAGGGCCCAAGTCAGTCTCAAGCAGCAGTAGGAAGGAGCGAACAGGCGCAGTGCTTCTCTACAGCTTTAGATTCCGTCCTCCTCAAGTCCGAACAGAGATGATTACGTATCGCACAACGGCTGGATCCGAATTGCCGGCTAGCTCCGAAAACCAGGAGAGGTGGGGGAGTAGCTCAGACGAATGGCTGCGTGTGCACTCCTTCGTGTGCATACTTGGCTGACTCTTTGAAGGATAGAATTCTGGTTCAGTGGAACTTTGGCGGCATTTCGGCATTTCCGGTATTTGCCGTTGTCACCTGGATGCATGGGACACGTAAATTTGTCACTCTACTTGCAAGGGACACGTATTTTCAGTGTTCCCCCTTGCGGTTTCGCTTGAGAGCATTTGTAGATCAGGAAGGGTACGCAGGACCAACGTCACCCTTGTGAACCAAGAACGTTGATAGTTGCTGCTCCATGCCTTGGTATTTTCTTGTATCGACTGCAGTACCTGGTGTTGCTCATGGTTGACAGCCGACAATATAGCAAATGATGTTAATACTGTATGAACAAGAACTTCCCTTCCTGGAGAAGAATGGACGACGAAATAAGAACTTGGCAAATAAGAACTGGTGCTCGGGTTGTGGGGCAGCCAATAAGAACTGAGCCTCGCCCAATATAGGAGGTTCTTAAGTGCGGGCCGGCACTGTATGGTGACTCTCCCATTTCGTACGAATGGGCTGGCAGCCCGCAGCTTCTGTACTCCCCGCATTTGACAGCAGTAGGGGTAACGATGTACTGGGGAGGCCGAGCATATCCTCTATCTTGTCCGAACGGAGGTTTTGTAGTCTCAACGGGCGGTTAGTAGTCCGAACGGAGGAAAAGGCGCACGTGCCGCCCCATTGCGTGAACGTCCGTCTCTCACAGATACTGCATGCCACGTAACGTTTGTTGGCTCCCTATTTTCCACAAAAGACTGGAGTGCACGCTCTTTAACAACAAGCCGGCATCGTCGTTTTTTTCCCCGCAACGTGCGGGCTTCGTTCGACGTGAGCATCCGCCTGAACGTGAGGGGTCGTGGCATTGAAATCACCAGGAGGGACTGCTTTACGCAGGCGTGCCGCGCGGTGTGGCCGGGAGACGAACCCATGCCAGCGGCCGTTGCGGAGGCATTGTCGTGATTCTCGAACGGGTGTTTTTGGCTGATCATGGAGCCTGAGGGGTGGGGTGGGGGGGTGGAGAACGCGTCGTACTTACAAGAGTTTCGAGCAGCCCCTCAAGGTTTGCGCTTGGCTAGTTTGCAGGGCGTCGTGCCCCCTCAGGACTTTCAGTTCGCTGGGTTTGTCGTTCAATTCGCTGGGTGGGGTTGTTTGGAGAAAGAGTGCTGCAAGGCACAACTCGGTGAAACAACCGATGTTGTGTTCTGCAACTTCCGTATGTTTTGTTGCATGTTGCAGTCACACTCGCCGGGAGATGTGTATTGCATATTCGTAGACATCGGCGCCTTGGTTTCGAGATGAAGAAATGGAATAAACATGGAACAAGTTATCTTGCAAGTATTCATGACTTGATCGCATAAAGGTCTCCGGAATGTCTGTCATTGGCACACGGTTGGATTCGGATGCCGTTTGCGGTCTCTGAAATACTGGTGAGCACCACCGGCACGTGGTGTATATGACGTCGTCGCACGAAAGGACTAGACTACACCGCACGCAGTGAAATAACTAAGTGCCAGGAAAAAGTTGCTCATCTAGATGCCGAAGACCTCTTTCGACTTTATCTGCAAACCTTGTACTTCGTACTCCATTCCTTGCCTATATGCGAACATGTCTGTCGACCAAAGCACGGAATACCGACGCCAAACCTCAGGCTTTTGCCACATAGGTTTCGTGTTACAAACGACACACGAGCCGTGGCTAATCGCAACAACACTGACAGTAGTCAAAAGCGAGTGGGGGGGGGGGGGGGGGG